GCTGTTTTTGGTGGAGGTCTTTGTTTTCTTTACATAACTTTGTTTTATAAAGATCATTTTAGTATATGTAAACATGGGAAAAAGATGAACTGTATAACGTACTTAAATAGGGGTAGTGGATCTTTATCGACGATCTACTTTTGACCAGCGAAAGTGGCCGAAGCAAGAAGAGCATGTTACGAACATGTCAACCAAATATCTAAGAAATATTTCATCTGTTGAACCTTTCCGACGACAGAAAATTTGTATCTTTGGGTGCAAGTTGGTCATGCTTCCTCGGGGCTTAGTTAATACAACCGATATTAACGACACATCTAGACCTCCTTTCTTTATTAAACATACAATGATAATCAATTGTATGAAGTGCTTACTGCAGGGAAGAAGAGTAAAAAGAACTGAAGAGGTTGATGATGGTAATCCAGGTAAATCTTCAGCCAATCATATTCTGAAAACACGGAGTAACCGAGTCAAACAAGAAAATGAAAATCCCGATCTTTTTTTTCCTAATCCGTCAGAGACTGCTCAAGGGGACACGGATGAGTATGTTAATGTAAGTATGATTTTTAAATCATTAAGTGTAACTAGCTCAAATTAAAAGTAAAGAAAAAAATCTCCCAATCTTTGAGCTTGTTTGATGCCATTTACACTTTCCCGTCATATTTCTCAAACACATTTCTATACATAATTACAAAGAAGCAAAAGTACCCGTCCCCAGTGACGGGAAAAGTTTAAGTTAATCTATCAATTAAAATTATTTAGTGGACTTTAAAAAGGTTAATTGTGTTGCACTCTTGGTTTCACTCGCAGCCAAAGCTCTAAGCTACTTATACCACCCACCGCGAAAAGTAATTGTTGAACATTTCAGTCATGCTAAGAACCGCTCAACAATAACGTACTGGAAATCTACATTTTTATCATTCAAATTACGTCACAAAATATGAATGATCGTGTAATTAATTCCTAACAACTTAGTGTAGAATATCCTGCTTGCGAAATATGAAATTTGTCATCAACATTATTCATGCCTGTTCTACCGTCATTTCAAAAGTGAACGTTGAGCTTTGCCTGCGTGCGCAGCTTTTCAAACGGGAGACAAACGAACGCTCGGATAGACACCACGATTCGTAATATGCATAAGATATTAAACAAATGTAATGCCAAATAGTTGATACTCTGATAATAAATGTGAATAAAATTAAAACGTCAGTTGAATTACTTCTACATTCATTCTTCTAATGAAGATCATGAATTTCAACGTAGACGTTTATGTCACGAACTGACTCCACATTCATTAAGTTCAATTTTATTTGTTAATGTGAACATTATCAATGTATTATCAATTTATAATACATTATCAATGTTAATGTGAAAAACAAATATTATTTGGTATTCTATGTAGAATTCCTAACAGATTCCTTGTATCAATTTTGTTAGACATTCTTGATAAGAAGTGAAAAGACTGGATTAATTCTCCTGTGTATTCTACCAATATTAATGTGAAACACGAATATTATTTGGTATTCTATGTAGAATTCCTAACAGATTCCTTGTATCAATTTTGTTAGACATTCTTGATAAGAAGTGAAAAGACTGGATTAATTTTCCTGTGTATTCTACCAATGTTAATGTGAAAAACAAATATTATTTGGTATTCTATGTAGAATTCCTAACAGATTCCTTGTATCAATTTTGTTAGACATTCTTGATAAGAAGTGAAAAGACTGGATTAATTCTCTGTGTATTCTACCAATATTAATGTGAAAAACAAATATTATTTGGTATTCTGTGTAGAATTCCTAACAGATTCCTTGTATCAATTTTGTTAGACATTCTTGATAAGATGTGACATAAAAAATATTTATATAAAAAGAAATGTCGGATAAATTAAAAATTTACTAGTTACATAGTATATTACAGTATTTTGCTGAAGTCTGGTAAATACAAAAAAAAGTTTTAAGGTATATAAACAAGCTTATACAACGCTGTTAAATAATAACTATTATGGTGTGAACACCTTTTCTAAAGCATGATTATAATTGATTATATTTGTCTTAATACGTTAGTATCAGATATTATATTTCTTAACATTACATTCGTTATCCATTCACTCCATTAGAAGAGTGTGTAATAATATTTCAACCACACTCTATTCGCCATATACATTACCGACGACGCATTTAACTAAATACAGAGCTCATCAGGTAGACTGGGACACAGAAAACACAGTAGTGGTCGGAACACTATTTATATAAACCATTTGTTACATCAACTGTTGTTATTGGGAATGCCTTTTCTAAACTTGAATAAGCCCTAGAGAACTGAATAAGGAATGTAGTGTTAAAAGTATAATAAGGCTGTTAAATGTTTGGTTTGATACTTACTCCTAAGCTTAAACTATACAGTGTTTACTGTATCTGAAACACCGAGGACTTGAGTTGGTTCTCACTTATTTTAACTATAACGAAACCTTTTATAAAAATTTTCAGCAGCTCCTATTAAACTTAAAAATGAAATAACAGGAACAGAGCGTTGGACAAAATAATCTAGTTTGATTTTTTTCTATTAAGACGTTTGTTATTATATTTGTTCGTTATTTCTCATGATAATCTTTTCGGTTATACAAATATCTTATTTAATATTTACGTTCATATAGAACTATGACAGTCCTCTTGAAGAAACAGAACACCAGATACAGGATGTAGAAAATCTCGACAAAGACGTTCAGACGACTCTCTTTAAAATTATAATTATTTCTTTAACGGTATCCTTTGTATTATGTATGTTTGTCTATCCTTGTGCCAGTTTTTTGTGGATGTTCAGGCGAAGACCTGCAGAGAATTGCTGTATCTGCTGGGATAGTGTCATTTGTAGGGATCCAAGTAAGTGTTAACGCGTTAAATAATCTTTAGTTTGTTATCCTAAACACTATACTTAAATCAAAGGCTGAATGACCTATCGTAATGCGAAGTTTGCCCATAGTTGTTTAAGTCAAACTAAGACTGTAATTTAATTATAATGATAATCTAAGTCGTCTTTTAAAATAACCAAATAATATCAGGAAATGAAATAAAAAATCATAGCTATTTATTCACTGTCATATGCTATGTTTATGTTAAGAGTTTTGGACACTGTTTAAATGTCAAATAACCATATTAATGAGTTAGAACCTTTTTGTTTGTAAAAGATGGATAAATTCATTCTTATTGCGATCAGTAGTTTGTATGTACAGACATCCGATACAAAAATGTCCTACTTAACTGCACTATTAATATGGATTAATAAACAATTAACATTAAGATTTAAATGAAAATTGACTCCGGAACCAAAGCTTGAACTGGAGACTTCTGGCTAACAGCCCAGCCCTCTGCCATTGATCTATCCAAGAAGCCACGAATTAGTTAACTTATGCAATACTCTTGCTCTTAACTATGTCGTATGAACATAATCTTAGAAAAATAGATGCGTGTTAACTGACAGCAAAGTTAATCTACTGATGGCACTAATAGTGTACGTAGTGGAAAAATGTACCTATCCTACCGACCGGTGGGTTAGGCTTAAAATATTGTAGTTTGAAACTTGTACTTTAGCTAAATAGGAAAGTTTTGTTTGTTGAATGTCGCGCGGAGTTACTCGAGGGCTATTTGCGTTATTCGTCCCAAATATAGAAGTGATAGACTAGAGAGTCAGTACCAGAAAACCACCAACTCTTGGGTTACTCTAATCGAATAGTATGATTGACCGTTATATTAAAACGCCTCCATTGCTGAAAGGACGAATATGTTCGGTGATGGGATTCGAACCCCGAAATACATAATCTAGAAAATAAACATTTCTGGTATTGTAAACTTCGACTCAGACCATCTATGATATACTGAAGCTGCCACTGTTGTTGTGTGTATAATCTTAAAAATAAACATTTCTATTGTAAACTTCGACTCAGACCATCTATGATATACTGGAGCTGCCACTGATGTTGTGTGTATAATCTAGAAAATAAACATAATACTCACATGTTTTTTAAGAGTGACCTCTGGCTCATAATTTGATCTTTATGGTTATCCGTGAAGCCTTTTTTTCGCTTATACATGAAATCATCGCATTGAACTGGCTATATATATTTATTTATTTCTGCATTTTGTGTATTTAAAAATGTTGAATATATACTTTCACACAGACACAAGGTAGTGATTTACTACAGTAGCAAGTATCAAAGCTGGTTCGCTCCAATCATAAAGACCCAACGACTCCACTTACACGTTATTCTTACGTGTTTCTTGCTTTTATATATTTCATTCAAGAAGTGATCTCACGGTGTATTTCTCATCGTCAAGGATCTGAATTGTATTTGTTTGTGTGTAATTACATTTGTGTTATTAAAGATAAAACATTTTCAGTGTTAGTAATGTCACTTTTGGTTAAACTAATTGTTTTTTTGTGTTTTTTTCGTTGCTTGAAGGTTATCGTATTTTGCGACGGATGGCCAGTGAAAGAAATCTGGAATATATCACTTACAAGGAATACAAAGATATTTTGAAATCTAATAAAGAATCTAATAAAGACGAAGACACAAGAAAAACAAAATCCAAGAAAGAAAGGAAAAGAAAAAGATAGCATGATGTTATTCATGAACACAACACTTAAAATGTTTCAGTGTATTAAACAAATTCAATTTTATTCTTCAAAAATTGTATACAGGCTTTTGATGTTTACAAAAACGTTCGTGTAGTATATTGTTTGTTTCATAAAAATAAGTATCGTTCTGGCTGTTATTATCAAGGGGCTCTTTCCATCACGGGTATCGAAACTCAACTTTTAGCGTTTTAAGCCTGCAGACTCGTTGGTGATCCACTGGGGGAAGGGGCTTAATATAAATAGTTTGATTTTACCTGTTTCTTGTTAAATTACACTGTAGTACAAATGACATACTTTGACATATCATTTCCACGAACGTTGGCTAGCCCTGGTTTAGTGGTTAGCGCGCCCATCTACATCTCTCCGGTTTCGAAACTGTACAGGCATGGTGCATCTTTTCCACATCTCTTCGGTTTCGAAACTGTACAGGCATAGTGCATCTTTACTACATCTGTCCGGTATCGAAACTGTACATGGTGCATCTTTTCTACATCTCTCCGGTTTCGAAACTGTACAGGCATGGTGCATCTTTTCTACATCTCTCTGGTTTCGAAACTGTACAGGCATGTTGCATCTTTTTTACATCTCTCCGGTTTCGAAACTGTACAGGCACAGTGCATCTTTACTACATCTGTCCGGTTTCGAAACTGTACAGGCACAGTGCATCTTTACTACATCTCTCCGCTTTCGAAACTGTATGGTTGTTAATTCACATCATAACAAGCTGTTTAAAATAAATAATCTGTATCTATGACAAAACATAGCGATGGTATGGTAACACTTAAAGAGAGTTAAAAAAAAACACGAAACAAAGAACCCAAGACTCGTTATAATAAAAATAATTATTTCTTACTGACTATGAATGTTTAGCATCACCATTGGTTGTTTTAAATTTAACAAAAATTAATGAACGTTAAAAATCAATTTTTACTTGTAAAATAGGAACACAATCAAGAGTTTTGTGAAATACGTAACTCCACATATTATAAAAATATGAAGAAAATTACATCAGATTTCTCGCCCAAACTTTTTAAAATTAAAGTTCTTGCGTTGGTACAAGCTAGATACTTACACTCATGTTACTAAAACCAAAACGTTGATTGTATTGACAATAATAAAACATTTTGCTTACTTTTATAACTCTAAACCTTCGTCGTGAAATTCAAGTCATTGGTTTGTAAGTTAAATATTAATGTTAACAACAGGTGCGGCGCCAGTCTTTCCCGGTGTTGGGTGTGAGGTAGGCTAGACAAAACAACTGAGGGCTACACTCTACATCTCGTAAGCACATATGTTACTTATCAACAAAAAAAAAAGTGAAGAAACAAGCATTAGAAAAAATTCATTGCCAAATAAAAAAGCTATGTAGGGTTGGCTACTGAACTTGAAAATAGGAACCAAACAAGATAGGGATAGAAGTGGACATATCACTTAATCGGCTAATGATTACATAACAGACTAAATTATTTCGACTTTATATGGAGAATAAAATCCCTACATTACTGACTTCCCCACTATGTATATCAAAAGCTTGATGTTTGAGTAGAATATCAGCTTTTATCATTATATATTTCCTTTAGTTAACTTTAGAATATTACATTTATGACAATCTTACAAAAAAAAGTAACATTTTACGATTGGAAATTCTGGTTCTATTTATTTTGCCAGTGAGGAAACCAATAATGTGAAATTTTATTCTCCATGTAAAGTCGAGACAACTATGTGATCAATAGCCGGATCAGGTGATATGTACACTTCCATCCCTGTCTTGTATGGTTCCTTTTTTCAAGTTCAGTAACCAGCCATACATAGCTTTTTTTTATTTAGCGATAAATTCATTCCTTCTACTTGTTTGTTTACTTTATTTCATAAGATGGCGTACGTGAGTTAGTAGGTTATCGGGTATATTCTAAAGCTTTATAAATGTTGTATAAAATAGTAATATAATAGGTAGCCAAATATCGTGAAGACTGTTTTGCTCTATGAAATTGTAAAATTATAGTTACTATCAGAGCTATATATGTGTTGAAGAAAGATGATGATGAACGAAAATAAGAAATCTTGGATTTGGCTGTTCGCCAGTTTTCGATTTTGGGAAGCTCTGGATAGCTGAAAAGCGGCATATACACCGGAGAAAGAGCGAATATTCAAGGTAGCTCTTCATATCTAGCTTCTGATGACCTGTTTTAAGTGGGTTATTTTTAATAACAAATATAAATAATTTTTATTTCTTAATTTGATACAACGTTAGCGGGTCAGTAGTAAGCTTACGGACTTCCAACGCTAAATTCCGCGGTGAACACGGGAGATATCCCGATGTGGCTTTGCTCTAAAACAAACACTACAATTAAAAACTGTAGTTTTTAATGTTTGATCAACATTTTAATGTATGTCGCGTTCACAATTTAACCCCTGTAAAACCATCTTCACTGTTAAATTTCATAATTGTGCTGCAAAGCGCTTACAAATTAGCTTTTTTCATTTTATTTGTTGCAAAGCACAAAGCTACACAATTGGCTATCTGTACTCTGCCCACCGCGGGAAATGAAACCTGATTTTTAGCGTTATAAGCCCACATACTTAATGCTGAGTCACAGGGGGACAGCTATTTGTTACATTAAAATGAAAGCTATTCAGGTATTCTGTGTAAACAAAAATCGTCTTTATACTGTAAACAATTATAATGCTTTTTTTTATTTCTTATGAACAAAATTTGATCTCAATTTCAATTCGTGCCACGTCACACCCAGTACATCAGAGTGATATCTTGTTCACAGCTTATGTGTGTGTATGTTTTAATCGTTTCTTATTTACGTTTCTATTGAGATAATGTTTTAATTGTAGATATTACACAAGGTACAACCATATTTCCATTTTACGCTCTTTATATCCTACAATTGAAAGGCTGTTCTACTGGTTTTATGTAATAACTAATCCTGAAAAGTGTATGACATTTATTTGTCACGTATTATTGATGCTCTTTTTTTTTTTACTATCATTCATGTTTTATGCCTTATTGAATATATTTACGACAGCAAAAATAATAATAAAAGTTTCATCTTTAAAGCACCAGGAAAATGTTATTTAGAGCACATTTAAAAAAGCTGTTGTTTAGAAATCATGTTGGAGACTGAAAATGAGAAAAAAGCTACATACGTAACTTTTAAATAATTTATTTTTTCTCAAAAGAAAACAAATTATAGATACGACATTTAAGGGTGCATTTTTTATTCCAATTACATTTCAAAGATTAAATACTTTTAAAATAATAAAAATGCAAAATAACCAAACGATGTAGCTTAGTACTAGAAACCAATTGAAAATTAGTCACACATAGTGTCCAACTAATCTAATCTAATATTTATATTATTAAACCTTACTGAAACGTAGTTATATTTTGCTTGGAGACGGCTTGAATTGGTAATGAAGAAAAACTTTAATATATGTTTAACATAACAGCAAATGTACAACGTTTTGACAAGGTTTTGTC